GTTCCCCTGAGCCATGGCAGAAGAGTTCGTCCCATCTCAGACTCTCTGCTCCATGCCTGTGGCTCCGGTGTCTAGCTAACCTTGGACGTTAATGAACCTAACGACCGTTTGTTCCCCAAAAAAGTCCGTGCTGTAAGCAGTGAATATTAGCATCTTTACCTGCCTATTAAGCTGTCATTAGCGTTGCCTAGGAACTACGTCTATTGTTTCCCCCACCAGCCTTCCCGGTAATCAGTGTCCTCAATAACCCCAGTTTTTAGGGAGACCAACACCTCTGGCCCAGCTGCATCCGTGCCCCTGCGTTAAGGTGGCCGTGCCGAGCGCCCAACATAGCCTGAGCCGTGTGTACTTCTTTAGCTTTGATGCCCTAGGCTCCCTAAGGGTTTATGAGGTTAAAATCTTCATTAGCGTGGGACCTGGGTTTGGCATCTGCAGATGCAGGCTTGATGAAAAGCCCCTTCAAAGTAAAGATGACTGGTGGCTTTGTGAGAGCTGTTCATTATTTGGTTTCTAACCCAAGAGTAATGTTTTCGATGACTCGTGCCGTGACAGCGGTGGCGGGCAGGACGCGGCGAAGCATCCTGCGAAAGTCTAAGCTTATTTTACGATCCCTCTTAGCTTTGTCGGTCTGACCGTGAATCCCATCGGGGAACGAAATCAGAGTCCTTTGACCACCTGTCATTTCCATTAACCTGCATTGATTTAAAGATCCTTTCAGTCTTTATTGATGGAGTCTCCTCGGGGGCCAATGGCTCCCCAGGCCGCCCTCAACCACCGCGGACCAGAGGGGACCGCCGTCTCCCAGCGCAGGGCTCCCCAGCACCGCTGGGATTGACACCCTTTCCCCCTCCCCATAATTAGCAGTGATGCGGTCGGCCCTGTGCACCACTATCGAGCATCACTGGGCCGAGCTGGTCAGTCCTTATGCGACCGGCGCCTTCGGTCTGGTGATTAACATGTCTGTCTTTATCGTAATGAAAGATAAAGAGGGAAGTTGCACGTGACGGCTGCGCTACTCGCAGCACAAGAAATGTCTCACCTGTGAGATTTTGGGGGACTATGTTGTGAGCATCCCCTTTTCCCTGAAGCTGAGCGAACTTCTTGGAGTTTGCCCCCTGCCCCTCAAATGGAGGTTTAATGTGTGCGGGTACTGTGATGTGGGCCTTTTTGTGGCTGTGCGACAGAGGCTAATGTAGCGTACGTCTTTCAATCCTTTCTTTAAATCTAATTTCTCGGAGAGGTCAGCTAGGGCTTTGTTTAACGCTTAGCACTCGTTATTGTCAGCCTGCCGACTCATTCGGTGGCTTGTTTGGTGCTGTCTGCGATGTGACGTGCCATCTTCTCCCCCGTCGCGTGGTCCGTGTCGCTTCCTGGAGGCTGGCGTCAGGCTATAAATCTGTTTGGGATGTTGGAGGGTTATCGAGAGGGAGAGGCCATGCACACGTGCCGGAGGGGAACGGGAGGAGCGCGGAGGAGAGCTGAACCCCTGGAATCCCCCAAATCCCAGCCCCCGTGCTTTGCTTTTTGCTTGGGGTGCAACAACGGTCTTTGCTGGGGCCTGCCCCAGGTCTGGGGTCCCGCAGGCGGCTCAGCTCGTGCAGCACTCTTCCCGGATGGGGGGACCATCGGTCTAGAGGAGAGGGATGTGATCTGGGCAGCGGCGTCGTGCTTGCTACCCTATCTGCTTGTTTTCCCCGGCCACAGGTTGAGGGCAGGCTGAGCGAAGCGTCTCGAGCCTGCGCTTTCCATTGCCCTTTTTGCCTTAACTTTCGCTTGTTCTTTAATTTTTAGAAGAGACAACTACCGCTCTGACACCCTGGAAAGGTCAGTAATTTGGGGACCCCTGCAACACCAGCGCTCCCTCTGCTCTGTCTCCCCACGGGCCCCTCCGGCTCCCACTCCAACTCATTCCCGTGGGTGCTGTGGCACCCACCGCCTTAACATACCGCCCATCAACAAAACTGTTGATATAGCAATGAATTAGGGTTTTCTCGCTGTCTAGCTGCCCTCTCACCCTGCCTCCTCCTCACCAGCCTACCGTGCCCGTCTGGTGGTGGTCTGTGCCCTCTGCATGCCCTGTTCCCCTGCCACGCTTCCCCGCTCCCTCCCCATCGCTGTTGCGCTCTCCTCTATTGCTGGGGCAAAAGCGGGGACGTCTCTGTGGTCCGCTTTCCCTGTGTTGCTGTGTAAATGGGTCTCATGGCAGGTCCTTCCTCCTCTGGAATGCTTCTAGTTTCTTTTTTCCGGGATGCAGTAGGGCTGGAATGATGTCTGGCCCCCTTCCCCACGTTATTTGTGGCCAAGG